TAGGAGTCATCCCTCTCGCCCCGCCTGGGGGGACAACTCGTCTGCCGCCCCTACCGAGAAGTGAAGCGGCGCCCTGTGAAAACGCCTACCGATCAGCCACCCACAAAAATTATTAGGAAAGAGAACTGAGAAAAAGGCGACGTGTGTGCGTTACCTGTCTACGTAAACTTTCGAAAAAAAAACAAAAAACAGTGGTGACGGGATTCAGAATATTCCTATACATAGACATGCTGCTCCTCTTTCGTGTCGTTGGGATCTTTCTCTCCCCTCCTCTCCCCGCGCCTGTCCAATAGGGTACAGGCCCCCTATGGGTCGGTGCCGGTGACGTTTTTAGAAGGTGGCGGGCGCCCGGGTCGTGTCGCCGGGACCACCACCCGATGCTGATTGGGATAAGCGCTGACAGACGTATCGACCAACACGTCAAAAAACTTACATTCTCAGAAGGTACAGCGTTATCTCATCTCCATGGGGACAAACAAGAACCTGTGATAAAAATGGCAAAACTATACATAAAGTCATTTGAGACCCCGAAAATTTGTACCCAATCATCTTAGAATTATGCATGAATTTTGTTTCCTGAATGGTAAAAGCGAGCCCATGGAATCCCCAAAGGTTTTCCCCCTTTTCAGGGCAGCTCTGGAAGTGTCTTAGAGAATGCACTGGATGCAGATTTTCCCAGGGTATAGGTTTTCCAGTAGATTCCCTGTGAATAATAAGGGCTTGTTTCCAGGGATCAATTGTGCGATGACAACTCGGAATACCAGAGCCTATTTATTCTTTGATATTCACCGTCACTTTATAATGTAATGGAGCAAATAATCTAAGCACGTTCCAAACCAATATTAAGGATGTACATCTTAATAAAAAACGACAGATTAATACAATTACTAGAAAAGATAGTCGCAATGGCACACTAGCTTTTTTTTTCCAGTGTTCGCACCACAAGACAATGACTACAGTGATTGGGCGACGCTCAGGGGCGGGGCCTCGAGGTCTCTGATTGGTTGCCATCAGACAATACACCCGACTGAGCGGGGGTGGACCGGGACCGGTGTCAGCTTTCCGCGCCCCCTGAGTCTACTTTTGTCTCGACCCAGCTTCCTCTAGACGACCTTCCGTGAACAGCTGTCTGCTGTGCGTGGGAAAGATAAACAGGCACCCGCAAATTTTGCATATGAATGCTGACAGCATGCCGTCTTTCGCGATTATTTCTGATAGAGATTAGTCGTCCGGATGAGACGACCGGCCAGCCAGTCCAGTCACTGCTTCGTCACCAATCCGGGGGCGAGACTTGTCTTACCCGTTGGCAGCACCAGCCAGCAGCGAGCAGTGACATTGTATACATATTTTATCCTTCATAAAGAGGAGGGGGAAAATAATTTCGGAGTGTAAGGCCGCGCTGGCCTGTCCCCACATATTAGCAGCTTTAGGGTGACGGAGCTTGAGTCGCCTTCCAAGCGGCCGAGTCGCACCCACAATAAACAGGCTTTCTTATGGCCTGCACGCCCAGATTTTCCCTCCCGTTCGTTCCCTGTCTTATTACTACAAAGTTGGATCGCACCTCTGTCTGCGCCCCTCGGGGGCACCTTCGTAGAGGCCACTGGGCCCGAACGCAACACTAAAATATTCGAAATGGCCACCCAGGCGAATTTTAATGAAAGCTTTCAATAGAAATAACCGGAAAAAATGTTTCAGAAATCAAAAAAAATACTTTGGATTTTACTGTGTGTTCGCCCAGGAGAGCGTTTAGTCTAGAGAACCAAATTCCAAACCGAATAAATTTTAGCTCTGCAAACAAAAATTTATCCATAGCGATGAAATAATTGAGTCAAAAGCTGACTTAGTTTGGTTGGTGCGGCCATATCTAGTTAAATATGGGGTAACTAAATTTTACTTCGTTTCAGGAACTAAATTTTGTACAGCCCTACTTAAGTTTTATCTGGGTTTGAAATAAGTTGTACCGGCATTGTTCATCAATTCAATTTTTCCGGATCACATTTATCTGATTGCAACTCAACAAACGTAATACCTTTGTTTCATTCGTGTTGCTTGTTGTTGGTCGCCCTTCCATCAATGCCAAAGGCAACGTTCCATATGGTAGCCGTATCCGCCCTTTCACCTCCTTCGCCTGAAAATAGACAAAAAATCTTGGTATAAAAGTGCTCCTTGTAAAACTGTTAACAGCAGTAGCGGTTTTGGGCGCTGCTAACACGGACAGCCACGCGCCCCTGGCAATACAACAATAAACGTAGATCGGAATTACTTTATGAAGTCCACCACCTCTTTATCTTGTCGGCAAACTCCTTTCAAAGAATAAAACACTACTGCGATACAACTACCGCCGCCGCCGCTCGCCACTACTGCTGCTGCTGGTAATTTTATGGGGCCATCAAATTACATTAACCACATCGTAAACCTGTGCATGCGTCGCCATAGGTTTTGGCCTTTTGATGCCCGCGGTGTGAACGGATACGTCGGTTTGACAGAATAGACGATAAAAATTGTAGCAAGTGCCACTTTTACGCGGAATGAATGGCCATTTGTTGCGCGCCGAGATGTCTTTATCAATCCTGCTCGGCTCAACAAGGCGACTTGGGTGAAAGCACACTAACAAAATTATGATTATTTCGAAAAAGTAGTATTCTGTTCGTAAATGTGCAGATTGTTCTACGTTTAAAATTTATTAGATCCCCCGTGTTATCGGGTACGATAATAAACTATGGGCAGAAGAATAGTGGGGCAATATCGCTGGTCTCCCACCAAGTTCTGTCCGTACAGATTACAAGGGCTTACAGGAACTATTTCTCCGCGCAGCGCCCAAGATCCTGGGAATAGCTGCGTGCCCGCCTGGGCACGTATCAGTATCAAGTGAGGCAGTCAAACGTGTCCCCCCTCCTGTCGCCTGCGCTCTTGGCACGGTCGCTTGCAGCGGGCGGCGGGACACCCCCCCTCCTCCCCCCTCCCTTTCCTCCAAGAGAGGCCGACCCTCGTGTATGGCTGCCGGAGAGGACTTTGGCTATGGCTGACCGGCTCGGTGCCCGATACGGAGGGCAGCCCGTACCTCAAGTCCTGCCTTCATCTGATTATCCTGGAAGGTTTCCGTAAGTTTGGTTCGTAAAGTGCCTTGCTCCGTGATAAGCGTCCCCACCGTCGCGCCTTTGAGCTACGCCGAGAAAAGGGTGGGAAGGAAAAATATCAGTCTTGGTGTGCAAAATAGAAACTTTCTTTTAATTTTAAAAATATGTGGTTCTAAATAAAATAATTCTTGACGTGATAACGACAGCGGACTGATGCAGCATACATCATGATGTCCGTTTATGTTTCAAATCGTATTTTTAGACAGTCACCTAATTTTTATTTCTTTAAGATTTTTAGTTATTTTGTTGTTGTAGTATGTTTCCAATACCCCGGTAATTTTTGCCGGTAGAGGGTTGCTATTTGCCTCAAAATGACACAATTTTTCGAAATAGTTTGTCCAGTAGGGGCGACCACCTCCAGCACAGCAGGGGGCGAGGGTGTGAAATTAAGAGGTAGCGAAAGCATCTGTTACGTCTCCCATAAAATTAATATTTTTACGAGTCTTTTATGGTCCGGGGGCTCCCGCATTCAGTGGTGGACTGGAGAACAGGTGGAATAAGTGACAGGTGAGATAAGACCAGCTCAGTGAACCGTTTAGCGGTGCACTATCAATTCTTAAAAAAGAACAACTCGATCGTATTTTTTGGAACTATACATGCATCTTTCAGAAGTTGCAAAATAGCGAGAGAGTTTTTTTGTGCCAACCTGCCGAAAATAACTTTTTTCCGCGATGTGTGTGGTCGTCCATATAGGTACTCAATGATGCGTCTTGGCTGGCGGACAAGCACACGGACGGAGGGTAAGGCATGCGCACTCACACACACGCTCTCTCTCCCTCTCTCTCCTCTCGCTGCTCCCCCTCCTCAGTCGTCAACTCACACATACAGGCACACACACTCACAAGCGCAAATGCCGCCTGCGGCATGCAATCTTCTCCTGTACCACTGGCGTCTCTCCGAGTGAGGTGCACCAATTCTGTCGGTCTTCGCACTCATTGGTTTTCTTTGCATTCCATTAAAATGCAATTTTAAGCTGAAGCTCATTCCACGTACAGACTCATTTACACCGAGTCCACAGGGAGCAATTATAGTAGCAGTGATATGTAAAGCAAATCGCTTCATCTTACCTTCACCACAATGCTTTAAAATGAAAATAATAAAACTTATACTTTTTATTATTTATTATTACCACTGAATCGACCTTATGTAATATTTTGTTTTGGAACTCATCACTCTTAACTTTGGTTTGTTACAGCCCTACCATTCAACGCACACCTAAGGAGGAGCCCCGATTCGGACGTAAGTACGCACTTCAACCGTCCCTTTAAAAAGTTTGTTGCCAATTTACAGTGCCTTTGGACTTGATAGCCAATACCTATTGTTTGTAAAGAGATGCTTGGTAACGAATCGAATTTTAAACTAAACCTTGTTTCATACAAGGTCCCCCCGCCTCTACTCACCACGTGTGGGTCCGGAGGGCTCGCCGCTGTGCGCTCGCCGGTGTTCTCGGTCCTGCTCCTCTTCCTCGACTGAGCCGCACTACACTACTCTTCTTCAATAAGGGTGCTGCAATGCCGCATTCCGCTCCCTCCGCCCTTTTAGAAAGTAGGTCACCGCGCGCGCCCATACAGGCCGGGGGTCTTTTCATACACAAATGTGCGGCGGGCACCCCATGGAGCGAAAGGGAGGCGGTAGACTTTCTCTGCCTTTGGACAGTCGTACCATGGTCCCTCGTGCAGGACACGAACAAGCTTGCGAAAACGGCGGTCGTACTTTTCGTCAAATCAGTTGCGATCGCTGGTTAGCGGCGTGCAGGCCTCGCGGTCGGTGGCGCACACGCCAGACAACGCTGATTTATGGGGAGCTCACCCTCCGGCTCCGCTTCTGCTCGGCTCAAGCGTCTTGGCGCGGCGCGGACGAGTAGTTTTTGCTCCAGTTTCGGTTTGTTTTCGGTGCCGCTGGGGGTTTACGATATCTGGCGGGCAACCCTTCTGGGGTGAATGCATGCGCCCCGGGCCGCTACCTGTTTCTGACCCGAATGTGGGCCGCTTGTCTGTATAACGGTACACTGCTAAACGCCAGCTGAACTTGGGTCGTCACTTTTCAACGCAATTGGCTGCAATGAAAATTGGCCCACACCTAGAGAACCATTTAGTTGATACAACTAAATCAGGGTTGTAAGAAACAAAATTTAGTTCCTAAAACCGACTAGAATTTAGTAACCTCATTTTTACCTAAATATGGTCGCACCAATCAAATTACGTCAGCTAAACTAAAAAATGTCGTCGCCACGGATAAATTTTGGTCTCCAGAGCTAAAATTTCGTCCGTTTTTAATTTGGTTTTCTGGACTAAACGGTCTTCTGGGTGCAAGCAGTGCATGTAACATTTTTCATGTTACATTTTTACATATTTGAGATATGGTAGAGTTATACTACTTGATATGGACATACCAACAATCGTGTGTGTTCTTGCCTGTAAAAGATTGTCACTGTCAGTAACGAAGCTTATTATGATCGATGCTGTTCTTCTGCAGGTGAGAGCTACGTAGCTCTGTGCAATCAACTGTTGGCAACGCCAGCTCCTCTTGAACTATTAAACTATTGAACTATTAAAGGCACATCTATTGACATTAATAATAATTTACGGACGCTTCGCATTTATAATTCCATTTAACATTACACGCAAATACAAAGATTGTACTGGCCAGTCTGTGCGCACTCCGCAGCTTCGAGCAACGGCGACGGCAGCGCACTCGGTCGGTACTCGTCGTCGTGTCGTCTTTTTATCAGCATTCGTACCGGCGGCGGGCGGAGGGACGAGCAGTCAGGCGGACGGACGGACGGACACAGCGACGGACAGACGGGCAAAGAGTAAAAGAGCGCGACGCGGGGCGGGGCCGCGCGCCGCGGCACCGGCCGTGTACTTAGGCCGACGTCCTGGCCCGCGCTGCGCGCCTGGTGCCGCGTATGTAATCCTAGATCATACTCTCATTGCGCCGCTCGGGGTACCCGCCTCCTAGACCGAGTGCGTCCGTCTCTCTGTCTCACTCGTGGTACACTGGCGACTTCGCGGCTTCATCATCGCTCCATACTCCTTGAGCAGACTGTATACGACCAATTTCTAAATCATCATTTTTTTTTCGAAACTGATATAAACTAAATTGCTCATCAAAAATTGTCCTCCACATCAAATACAAACTGAACTCTCAATTTAACTAATTTCGCGGCAAATATTTTGCAAACATGGGTTTAATTTCAGCTGCGTTGGAACATACGCTTAGTTTGAATGATACGACTATCGTAAGCGTGTGTCCTAGTTAATTTTCCTATCATACATGTCACGAATATGTTGCCGATTTTAGTTTCTTGTTCGATCGATTCTGAAATCGATTCTTGAGGGTAATTAGGGACTAACGATGACGTATACTTTTCGAAAGTCCAGGGTTTGCTGCTCACATGGCGACCGCCGCTCATTTGCCGTACGGATTAACTAGTCCGTGTAGTTTGCGCTCCATATGGGGTGTGGGCGGGGCGGGGCCGGGCGGGTGAGTCGGGCCCGGGGCGGGCCAAGTGCCGAAAACACAAGACGCGCCATGCCGTAGCGCGGTGACGTCACGTCACAAGGCGGCCCGGCCGGCCGATCGGCCCAACGGGCGGCCGCGCGGCTCAAGTGGGTCCCGGGAGCCAGCCAATCGGGGTCGGTCGAGCCGCCAAATCGCGGCCCTGGGAAAAACTCTTAAAAATATATTGCATTCTGAATATAATGCGGGGCAGGCGCGCAGCCCGGCGAGGAGGTGGCCGGGCCCGGCGGCGGCCGGTGGCGGCGTGGCGGCGCGTGGCGGGCCCGTCCGCGCGCCGCGGCGAGGCCCTGCTCGGCACGGCGCGGGCCCCTGCCGGCGGCGCGGCGGCTCGGCACGGCTCGGCGGGCAGCATGGCCGGGACCAGCCGGCCGGCCATCCCTGCTGCTGCTGCCGGCTTTTGGGAGGAGCGCTGTCTCTTTCGCACTCATTGGCCGCCCGCTCGCCCCCGTCTCTGTCGCACCCGCGCAGCGCACGCAACTTGCCGAGATCATTCCGCGGTGCCCAGAGGAATGAGGAATTCGCTAGGATGCCCACCGCTCATCAGGGGGTAAAAAACAATGGCACTTAAAAAAGGGGGCAGGGAGATTTTGTTTATTTTCTTGCGAGAGAAGCATGTTGATCTCGACCGCCTTACGTTATCTTTATCGTAATGAGGGGTTCAAATACCGGCAAGCCGTAATTGCAGACCCGCCGTTTGACCGACGTGGCGGGGCCTTGGAGGATAATTATCGGTGTATAACGGCCCATGTCATCCCGGCAGCCAGGCCGGCTGTCCGTTCGGCCAGCCTGTCCATCCGACCGCTTGTCCGCCTCTGTCCTCGCTCTCTCAGCGCTCATTTATGCTGTGAGAGATTGGCTACTCAGCCAATCACGACTGCTCGACGGGATGGGACACCGCGGTACGGGGAAGTCCGCACGAGCTGTCAAGGTTACCAGCCACATCCGCCTTCTGCCACACAGATACTGTCGCATTCCTTTTTATTACCATTATTTTATTTTCTGCAGTCACGTGTTCATGGTTATGGATTGGCGTTGTGGTCATTGTGGTTGGCTAATGCACCACCATATATCCCCCCCCCCCTTTCTGAATTGCCCGACATTTGCTGAAAATAAGAAGTTGTGTCGAGCTTGACTTTCCTCTTATTCTGTCAAGTCGCAGCAGTGGCGTGGGGGCAGAACATAAGCCCAACGATATGAAATATTCTGTAAACCGCCTGTGACCACTGGTTGCCGTGACCCAATTCCAGGCTGGAAACGCCGTCGCCGAGGCGCGAGCGAGGCGAGGAACGGCAGGCCGTAGCCAGGGAGGGGCAGGCGGAGGGGGGAGAGGGGCGTTGCTCCTGCAGTACAAAAAGAGAATCACCCCCCTCCCCCGCAAATTGAGACATAAACATAAAACACCCCCCGAACCCCCGACACATACCGCCGCTGAATAGAAACCCATTAGATCGACATGCAGGGACGACATGCCACAAAGAATAATTCGCTAAAAGGCTGAGCGGCGCGGCAGCCGCACATTGCGGCACAAATGGCCGCAACCTCGACGGGCTTTTGTTTGCGGTGGGGTTTTCCCATTTTCTCCATTTTTTGCGATATATGTTTATCACCACATAACAAGAAAAAAAGTTAAGGAAATTTTAGTAACAGCATTCCGTACATTGTATAATTTGTTTCTTTAATTCAAAAGAAGTATTTATTTTTCTCGCTGCGGTTGCGGTCAGTGTATATGCGTGCATGCATGACATATCGCTGTGCTCGCGCACGCCAGAATTTATAATCACGCCCATAATTTAATTCGCCGCAAGTGGTTTGTGTGTGGCGAGTGTGGGGTGGGGACGCAGGGCAGCTCTGCACAGCCAAGGGTCTTGGTACCAAGAGGTACTCTGTCACAAATAATGTTTACAAATCATTTACAAAACTTACCTTATGACCCGAGCCCGAGCCGAGCTTACCTTATTACTTAACCACACTATTTTATTTTGAAAAACTTGCTCGGAGTTTGTATTGTTTGTTTCATATTATTTTGTTGCCTTTTTTTAAACGAGAAAAGAAGTTTTTAACTATGTAGACGGGACGGCGGGGAGCTCAGCGGCTGTACCACAGCTCGACCGCCTTCGCCTCGTCAGGGGATTGTAGTCGCACGATGTTGATCCCCAGAAATGCCAATATGGAGTCCGAGGCTCGGACCCCACCCGGGGAAGATATGTATACACACTGTGTGTGGGGGTGAGGGGAGGAGGGCGTGAGTTGACGTGCGGATTGCACAGTGCACGGGCTTTGCGAGACCCTCGCTTTCCCCCACCCCACACTACCACTCTACTCTCTCTCTCCCTCACCCGAACCACACACTCGTCTCTCACTCCATCCAAAGCTACATATCCCCTACGGTCTGGCTGACCAGGCGTGAGTGTGCGTGTGTGTGTTTGAGCGCTGTTTGTGGACAGACATGGTGCGATCGAATAGCTGAACCGCGGGTCTGCTCTGGTGCCCCTCCAATAACACGCCCAACCCAACTTCCAGCCAAAGGCCCCGAACTGCACTAATCGCCCAGCTTTCTGCGCTTATCCGCGTGTGGTGGCGTTTCTCTACCAGATACAATATCAAAAAACAAATATATAC